AAAAAAGGAAAAAGCGAATCCGAATCTTCAGATTCTGATTTTTTTTTTTTTTTATTATTATTATTATAGATTTGGCTGGAATAAACAATCCCAAAGTGGATTGTTGGGAAGGTCTGAGCGGCCCCGGCTCGTTAGGGTGGAATGAAGTGGGAGATCCACGTCCAGCCCTGCAATTCCTGGGAAAAGAGGGAAAAAGGGGGAGAAAAAAAGGGAGAAAAAAGGGGGAAAAAGAGGGAGAAAAAAAGGAAGAAAAAGAGGGAAAAAGGAGGAAAAAGGGGGAGTGCTGCCATGGTCAGATGGCCATGCTTCCAGGGGTTATGGGATAATCCTGGGAGCTGAATCCAGGGGTTTGTGGGATTTTCCTGTGATCTGCACCCAGGGGTTTATGGGATAATCCTGGGATCTGGACCCAGGGGTTTGTGGAATCTTCCAAGGACCTGAATTCAGGAATGTGGAGTAAACCTGGGATCTGAATGCAGGGGTTTGTGGGATTTTCCTGGGAGCTGAATCCAGGGGTTTAAGGGATGCTCCTCGCCACCCTCCCAGGCAGGAATTCCTTGCCAAGATCCCAGCCCAAGCTCCCCTTTCCCAGTGGGATCCATTCCCTGKGTCCTGTCCCTGCAGCCCTTGGCCCCAGTCCCTCTCCAGCTCTCCTGGAGCCCTGGGTGGGATTGGGATTGTGGAGATGAACTTTGGGTGGTGGGAAGAATCTGGAAGATGGGATCGTGGAGGTGATCTCTGGGTGATGGGAAGGGTCTGGATGGAATTGATGGGTATCAGCTCTGGAATTTGTGGAGGGTGTGGATGGGATCGGGATCTTGGAGATGGACTTTGGGTGGTGAGAAGAGTCTGGATGAGGTTGGGATGGTAGAGATGATCTGTGGATGGTGGGAAGGGTCTGGATGGGATTGGGATCATGGGTATCAACTTTGGAATGTGTGGATGGGATTGGGATCATGGAGATGAACTTTAGGTGGTGGGGAAAAATCCAGATGGGATTTGGATTGTAGAGATGAAGTTTGGGTGGTGAGAAGAGTCTAGATGAGTTTGGGATGGTGGAGATGATCTGTGGATGGTGGGAACGGTCTGGATGGGATTGGGATCATGAATATCAGCTCTGGAACGTGTGGAGGGTGTGGATGGGATTGGGATTGTGGAAATGGACTTTGCTTGGTGGGAAACGTCCAGATGGGTTTGGAATCACGGAGATGAATTTTTGGTGGTGGGGAAAAATCCAGATGGGATTTGGATTGTGGAGATGGACTTTGGGTGGCGGGAAAAGTCCAGATGAGGTTGGGATTGTAGAGATGAACTTGGGTCATGAGAATGGTCTGGGAGAGTTTGGGATCGCTCCTGGCAGTCCATCCCAAGTTTTCCCAGCTCTGGGATTCCCAAATCCCGGGATCACAGTGTGATTCCTGCTCCGGTTTCAGATGACGTCAGCCTCACGCCCAGGGACGATGTCCTCATCGACATCGACGACCGGGAGCCCCTGATCCCTGTCCAGGTATGGCAAACGCGGCCGCGCCGGGAAGATCCCGGGTTTTTTCCGTGCTCCGGTGGATCTGGTGAGGGTGGCGGGACCCGGCAGTGCCGGTGTGAGGCCGGATCCCATTGGATCCATCCTTTCCCAGCTCCCACGCATTTCCTTTCCCTCTCCTCACCTTGAATTCAACCCTGAATTCCTCCTCATTCCCTACGTTGGGAATGTGGGGTGAATTTGCATTCCTGAATGAGAGGAATCTGTGCCAGGCTCTTCCCAAGGAAACAAAAAATTCCCTGTGGCTCCGTCATCCTCGCCCCGTGGCCAGGTCTCCTTTTCCCGGTTTGCAGGAATTTTCCTGGACTGGGATTGCAGAATCCCGAATCCCGGATCTGTGGTGGTGGGAGCGTGGAAGGAGGGCGGGAATTGGTGAAATTCCAATGAATTTATGGGATCACAGCCATTCCTTGAGAATGGATCAGGATGGACACGCCCCTGGAACTTCCGTTCTTTTCTGGCCAAAGGGATTTTTGGGAAAGATCTGTGCATGGGTGAAGGACCCTTTATTCCCCCCAGAGCTCTGGGAGTTGCTCCCGGGAATTCAGGGAGATCCCATTCCCAGGATCCTGGAGGAAGGGTGGAGACAGAACTCGTGAATCCCGGAGCTTTATTCCCTCAGGCAGCTTAAAGTTTGTGGGAATCATCTCCAAGCTTGGATCAAATTTAGGGAAGAGTTGAAACACTGAAAAAAGCAAGAGAGGAATGTGGAAAACCATTCCGAAGTGGAAGATTTTGGGTCTTTTTTTCCCAGGAAAAAACCTTTCCCAAACAATATCCCCCTGTCACAAATGGAATTCCTCAGTTTGACCGTGGATTCATCCTTTTCCCATGAATTCTTCCCTAGTTTTCCCCGTGGTTTCGGGAATGGAAGGAGCTCTTCCCAGAAAGCCAACCCCAAATTCCCACCTCGGAATTCAGGCCCTGGATGCCGATCGGGGCGCGGACGGATCATCGGGATCAGGGCCAGGTTTGGGAGGTCCTGGAGCAATCCCGCTCCTCCTTCCCGGGAAAAAGGACAAATCCCAAGCCAGCGGGACCCTTCCAGCAGCGCCCTCGGAAGCGGGAGCCAGGATTTTGCATGGACGCGTTTCCATGCGCGGCTCCGGAGTTTTTCCCGCTCCTTGCCAAGCCTGGCTCTGCTCCCYGCTCCCGTGGAAGGCTGGAACAAAGGATCCCTTTGTTGCTTCCCGTGGAAAATCGGGAAAACGAGCGGAGGTGAAATCGCCCCGCTCCGAGGATTGGGAGCGCGTTATCCGTCTCAGCTCAGCGGGGTCAGGAGTTCAGCCGGAGTTTAAGCGCACGGGAATCGCGTCCCGGTCACCTAAAAATCATGGAAAAGCGTTTTTTTTTTCCCAGCTAATCCCATCCAGTTTTTTTTTGGGAGAAGGGCACGGAGCGGGGTTTTGGAAAGGAGGAATTTGTGGGAGAAGCTGTTGGATCAGGCTTTGTCCTGCCTGCTCTGCTCTCTGTGTTTTCCGAGGGGTCGTTCCCATGGGAAGGACATCCAGAGATCCACGGGATCCATGGGTTTGTTCCCTCTGCTGACGGATAAATCGGCCCGAAAGGAGCTTTTCCCAGTGGGAATCCTGGTGGAAAACAATCCTTAGGGAATTTTTTCAGCTGGAAATTGTGGGGTTTGGCCCAAGGATGCTGATGTGGATTTGTGGGATCGGAGAAGCATTTTGGGAACAAACCTGAGCTGGATAATCAGGAATGCTGTCAGGATTTGCCTGATGTCCAAACCCAGGAAGAGCCTCCCATTCCTCCCCTTTTCCATCTCCGAGGGATCAGCCCTTGGAATTCCAGAGTGGAGCTGCCACTTCCCACTCAGGGATATGATCCCAGATTTTTGGGATCCCAGGATTTGGTTTGCCAAGGACAAGCTGGGCTTGGCCCTGGACATTGATTGCGAGCATTCCCAGTCCCAGGAAAATCCTGAATCCTGAAAACCCTAAAATTGTGGCATTTCGGGCTGTTATCACCAAAGCCAAATTGTTTCATTCCCTGTGTGATCCCACACGGTAATCCCAGGAAAACCAAACYCCACGAGGCCAAAAATTCCCTAAAAAATGCTCCAAAATTTATCCTTGGAATTTTGTTCTTGGGTCTCCACCTTGTTATGAACCCCCTCTGACTCAGATTCCTCCTTGGATCCCGGGATGAATCCCTGTATTTCCATTCCTTCAGAATCCAGGGAAAAGCCTCTCCTCCACTGGGAATTCCTAACTTTTCCATATTTTTTCCCCCTCAATATCCCATTTTTCCTCTACCTCATTCCATCCACCCCCATTTCACCCAACACCCCTAAAAACCTGCTCTCATCCCAAAGTCACCTCATCCCGGGAAACCCCAGGGGTYGGGAATATTTGCTTGGATTAACCCCTTGGATTCCTCCCGAATTTTCGCTGATGTGCGTTCATCCCCATTCCCGGAATTCCTTGGATAACGGCTCCTTTCAATCCGTAGCTTGCCGAGGGTCTGACGAGCTCAGCGCTAATTAACGTCCTGGCTTCCCCGCCTCGTGTAGGTACCGCTTCCTTCCTAATTAACGCTTTCATTAATTAACTAACGGCCCGGATTGGTGAGAATGCGCGGATTTAAATGCCGGGAGGTTTTTCCTTCTGGGAAAGATCCCACTGGCTTTGTAGGGAAACGGCGATTCCAGCCGGAATCCTGACTATCCTTGGGTTTTCCACTCATTCCAGAGGGAATCGGGGTGGGCTGGGGGGGAATTCTGCCTCCAGCTCTGGGATCCCGGCACGGGAAGGATGTGGGAATGTGGGAGCGATCCCGAGGAGGAGGTGGAGGAAAAGCGATGGAGGAAAAGCTGGGAATGTTCCCCTGGAGAAGGGAAGGACA